AAAAAAGATATATATATATATATATATATATAATATATATATATATATATATAAATGTGCATAACTTGATACACATACATGATCAAATGTTCAGTAGGTATTATCTTCCTATAAATTCGTAAGTGAACCTGCCAGGGAAGACTCCTTTTTTTGGCAGTACTAGGGATTGAACTCAAGGTCTTTGCACTCAACTATCTCCCCAGCCCTTTTTTAAATTTTTAATTTTGAGTCAGGGTCTCACTAAGTTACCCAGGTTGGGCTTGAACTTTCAGTCCTCCCGCCTCAGCCTCCCAGAGTGCTGAGACTGCAGGTTGTGGAGCCTTGCCCAGCTTCTAGGGAAGGCTTTCCATCTTATATCATCACCATTTCTCCTGCAGGCTGAGAACAATGAACTTTTTATCTCTGTTACCTTACTAAGTATCATTACATATAGCTATGTATTTATTTATTTATTTATGCAGGAGTGGGGATTGATCCCAGGGCTTTGCATGTGCTAGGCAAGTGCTCTACCACTGAGCTGTACCCCAGCACCATGTTACCTTATTAGCGAGCCTACAGCACTGTCAACTTTCTAACAGAGCAAACTTTGAGGATGATAAAAGTGCTGGAGACATAGCTCCATGGTAGAGCCCTTGCCTAGCATGTCAAGGCTCTGGGTTCAGTCTCCTGTACTGTAAAAAAAGGGGGGGGGGAGAGTAAAGTGAGGCAGATGTGGTGCCGCATACCTGTTATTCCAGCTGCTTGGGAAAGTTCAGGCCAGCCTAGGCAACTTAGCAACACACTGACACTAAAAACATTTACAAAAAGCCAGGGGCAGAGCACTTGCCTACCTTGCAGGGTCCTGGGTTTGCTACCCAGAATCATAAAAACTTTTTTTTTTTTTGGTTTTTTTGAGGCAGGGTCTCCCTTTGTAGTTCAGGCTGGGCCTGAACTCACTATGTAGCCCAGGCTGGCCTTGAACTTGAGGTGACCCTCCTGCCTCAGCCTCCCCAGTGCTGGGATTACAGGCGTGTGCCACCACACCTGGCTCAAAAAAGTTTTAAAAGGTAGAAGTGGGACTCAAGGAAATCAGGTTACTTTACCCCTAGTTTAAAAATCTACACATAACTGAGGCTCCTGTCTCCCAGCCGGGACTCTCTCCTCTCCCATCTTGCTATCTGGTAGCACCCTTTAGTCTCAGGCTGGAGGCACTGGGGCCCAGCATCCCAGGACTCAGAGCCAAGTGGGCACCACAGGGATTCAGGCCCCCTGAAGGCTGTGGCACTGGGTGCCACCCTGGAGCCATGCCGGGTACAAGGGCTCAGGATGTGTGTGCAGGGCGCAGGAGCAAAGGGCCCTGCAGGGAGGGGACAAGTCTGGTCTCCAGTCCTGCAGAGTGGCAGAGCCCAAGGTTGTGAGAACCACATGGCTTTTTATTCACATGGAACCAGGCAGGAAAGGATCAAACCCACTCCCCCACTGGGAGAACTCAAGAGTAGCCCTGGGGCCCAGGGTTTGGGAACAGCCGGGTCAGCTCGGAGGCTGCAGTGTGTCACTGTTTCCATTACACACTTCCTGGGTCCCTCTTTGGCTGGGGAGCTTGGTGCAGATTCCTCCTCCCAGAGCCCCAGAGGTAGGGCCTGGAGTGCTTCCCAGGCACCAGGCCGGCAGTCGGCAGACAACAGGAAGGCAGGAGAGCTGGTTCCCACCCTCGCCCTCTTCCAGGACACTGCTTCTCCCTGACAATGCCTGCAGGGGTGTTGGCTGAGGCAGGTCTTTCTGTTGTAAAGAAATATTTTTTTAAATAAGTAAAACAAGTAGTCTAGGAGGAGCGGTTAAGAGGCCCCAGGGCTGTGAGTGGTTTCTTGTTTCTTAACGCTGGATTTTAAGTCTAGGTCAATTTCTGCAGGAGGTGCAGGGCAGGTGTTGGGTGTGCAGGAGCCACAGGCGGGAGGGATGGGGCACCTGCCCTGGTCCCCCACAAGCATGGACTTGAGGATGGGGCCAGAACATGGGGTGCTGGCCTGGAGGGGTGCGTGGCTCTGTGGTCTCCGATGTCTGCAAGCCCCGATGCAAGTGCACTGTGCCCAGCTGTCCGTGCCCCTGGGTGCCAGGTGCAGCCAGGCCTGGCAGTCACTTCTGAGATGGGGTGAGGATGGGCTGCTCTAAGTGGCTCTGCTGACTGTGCTGTAGAGTGGACCAGCCTGGTCATCGCCACTGGGCCGGGATCTGGGCCAGCCCTGAGCTGTTTTCTGGTCTGTGAAATGGGCAGAGCTCTCCTTGCTGGAGCAGATGCCAAGGCCCAGCCCCAGAGGCTCTCAGGATGGGGGCCTTCCCAGAGATGTCCTGGATGACACTGGGTAACTCGGGAATTGGGGAGCACCCACAGGAGGGCCTTAGCAACACATTTCAACCTGAAGCACGCAACTGTCACCTGCAAGTCAACTCGGATCACAGAACGGGACTGTGTGCACACATGCGTGTGGTCCTGGGGATTGAACCCAGGGGTGCTGTGCCACTGAGCTACATCCCCAACCCTTTATATCTTAGTTCTCCTTAAGTTTCCCAGGCTGGGCTCCAACTTGTGACCCTCCTGCCTCAGCTTCCCAGAAGTGCCCCGTGCCCAACTCCTATTTTGAAAAGGAGAGAGCATCACAACCCCAGCACCTCCCAGATGCAGCCTCCAGCAAGCCACAGCTCTAGGAAACTTCCCCTGCCTGCTTCCCCAGCCCCACCCTTACCCCGCCTCCCTCCAGGCAGTCCCCTCCCCTCCAGGCCTGCAGCATCCGCTGCACCTCTTCCACTTCACTCTTGTCACCCTGCACTCCACTCTGGGCTCTCCACCCGGGCAGGGCAGGAGCTGGTCCTCCATCCTTCCCGCCAGCCTGGCTCCCTGGGGCTAAATATAGCACAGCTGCGCCCGCCCGCTCCCGCTCCCGCCCGCTCCCGCTGGGTCCAGGGCTGTGCTTGCAGGGCCAGGGTGGGGAGTCAAGGTGGTAACCTTCCCGTCTGAAGGCCACTGTCCAGCCAGCTGTTTCCCTCTTGACCCTACCTTAATGCTCCAGGTAAAACACCACCTCCGTCTAACAGGCAAGGACATAGACTCAGAGAGCCAGTGCCTAAGTAAGTTGTTTGGGTTTTTTTGGTACTGGGGATGGAACTCAGGTCCCTGCGCTTGCGCAGCAGGTGGCAAAACCACTGAGCTAAATCCCTGGCCCTAAGTAAGTCGTTTTTAAAGGACAGTCTCGAGCCAGGATTTAGCTCAGTGGTTCCGCCGCCTGCCTCGAAAGTGCAAGGTCCTGAGTTCAATCCCAGGTACTGAAAAAAAAAAAAACACAGTCTCACTGCACAGACTAGGCCAGCCTTGAACTTGAAATCTTCCTTCGGAAGTCTCCAGGTGCATGCCTGCACCCAGCTGACCTGAAGGGTCCTAAGAGCAGCGGTCAGCTGATGGGTCTCACACTCACTGGCCAGGATGTTACATCTCTGCATGGTTCATCCTGACCCCTCTAAATCTGAGTTTCCATTAATATGACTTGATCTGGAAGGAAAAGGTTTACTAAGCAAATTACTAATGCAGAAATGTTTAAATGGAAATAATTATTAAGGACTTGGCAGGCTAACAAGAATGATGATAGCTATCATAATTTTATCTTATCTTGATAGTTTACTAAAACAAGGCTCTCCAGAAATTTGTTCCTTAAAGTTGTGGTTACTGCATGTTCTCATGAAATTTTGAAATAAATAAAAAAACTTTACTTCTTCCATTTCAAGACTTGACCACTTCACATTCCCCTAAGGTGGGGCTGGAATTCTGGCCCTTTCTCTGTCACTTACTGTGACCCTGAGCAGACCCTAGCAGAGCCTGAGTTCCACCTGAGGCACAGGGATGGCAGCCTGCCCTGGCGCTGCGGGGCAGCCAGGGCTGGAGCTGACCCAGCACTCAAGGCCCAAGGTTCCACCGCCAGCACCTGACAGACAGGCAGAAAAGCCACACCCAGCGGTCAGCTCTGCCTGGCCGTAGAAGGTGCCCAGAAAATCAGACTATCACTGTGTCTCAGCTAGTGCTGGAGGGGGTGGGGCAGGTGTGTGGACGTCCCGACTCCTGTCCATCCCACCCAGAGTCAGGGGCAGTGGGCAGCAGGGAGCTGGGGGGCGGTGCTGGGCCTGTGGCCAGGCGGGCAGGACCCTTCCCACGGACGCCGTGACCCTGGTCAGCCCACACAGCCGAGGCAGGAGGGAGGGCACACGGGCTGCTGCAGAGTTCCAGCCACCGGCCGACTCACACAGGAAGAAGAGGCTGGGCCTTGTGTGCTCAGCAGGTGCCCTTTCTCGCTGCAGTCCAGGCGGACATGGTCAGTCCCGGCCCTGAGCTGCCCAGAAGGGTCGACCTGGGCCCCACAGTGCAGCAGTCAGGAGGTCAATGCCAGGGCGGCCAGACCTGGGCGCCAGTCCCACACCTCCATTTGCCAGCCACACACCCCAGAAATCACCAGCTCCTCTGAGGCTGAGCCCAGACCGCGTAAGGGACGGTGTCGGCAATGCTGGCCATGGTCACCCCAAATCCCAAGTAGGCTTGGAGGCAGCATCAAGGGCTCGGACGGGAAGGGTCTTGCCTGCTCCAGATGCAGCCTCGACTCCTGCCCCTTGCAGCTGGGTAGCTGGGGGCCTGCGGGTCTGCCCAGGCCTCCAGTCTCCTCAGCCCTCCACACCGAGCGCCACGACGTCCTCGGGGCTGGGGCTGGATGGGAGCAGCGAAGGGCTGCCCCACCAGGCCCCATGGGGCATCCCCGCTGGACCCAGCAGGCGGGAGTGAAGAGCACCCCATCCTCTCCTGCCCTCCTGCGCCTCTGACTTCAGACTCCGTAAAGCCCAGTCGCTGCTCCCGGGCCCCACAGCGGCCGCTCTGGACAGTGCTGCTGAGCTGGCCTGGCTGGCCTGCCTGTGCTCCACCTCCTCCCAGTGCCTCTGGTAAGTGCAAAGGCCGGGGGCCCGTCACAGCTCCCCCAGGAGAGGCAGGGATGGCACAGGAAGCTGGCAGCAGCACGAGTGCCCCCGACCTGGCAACACTCAGGCAGTGCAGGCGGGGCCTGCAGCCCAGGGGTGGAGGCCGAGGTTTGGGAGTTCTGGGACCAGCATCACCCCTTGGGGCCAAGGTGCAGGATGCAGGCTCAGTCTCACACAAACCCATGCCTATCATAGGGTCTGCCCGGGGTGGGTGGTCAGTGCTCGGACTGCGATCCACGGCCCTGGACTCTCAGGAGTGGTTCGCACACCCAGACAGCAGGGCCCCAGACTGTGACCCAGAGTTCCGACTGTGCCATCCAGGTCGGGGCTGGAGCCGTATTGGTGCCCAGGAGGTCTGCTGACAAAGGCCAGTGGGCGCCACCCGAGGGTGCTGACAGTGTGTCCGAAAAGCTGCTCAGGAAGAGCAAAGAGTCACCACTGGTACCTGTGGCTGAGTGGGCAGTGCCTCGGCGCGGCGGGTGTCAGAGGTCAGGCAGCCCCCCACTGCGCGAGGGCCCCACCTCGCAGTAGACTGGCAGGGTCGCACGGGAGGTGGCAGCTACCCTGTGCTGAGCACCGGGCACCCACACTGGCCTCAGGACTGAGGGTGAGCAGTGCCGGGCTGGGGAGCGGCCATGCAGGGCCATAGGATGTGGGCATGATGAGGTGCTCTGCACATGGATGGGGACCCAGAGACCAGAGCCGTGACAACTCCACGGGGCTCCCATTGGGGCGCTGGCGTGGGGACGAGGCCGTCACTCTGCCCACAGGACTGGCGGGCTGCCTGGGGGTGGCCACATACAGGATCTCCAGCAAGTTGTCCATGCACCTGATCTACACGCGCGTGGCCGCACAGGCGTGTGCCGTGGGCGCCATCATGCTAGGTAAGCACTGGCCGGGGCAGGGAGGACCCTGCAGCCAGAGGCCCATGACCCAGGGCCACATGGGTGCCTCCTGTCCCTGCTCACCAGAAACTGTGCGGCAGTCTCATGACAACCTGCCCAGCAGGTGAGAAAATCACAGCGGGACATGCGCTGATTTCTTGTCCTCTCTGGATTTGAGAGCAGCAGCCTCAGGAAGCTGAGGCAGGAGAATTATTAGTTCAAGCCTTGTTTTTTTAGGTACTGGGGATCGAACTCAGGACCTTCCGCTTGAGAGGCAGGCGCTGGAACCACTGAGCTAAATCCCAGGCCCTTATTTTTTTTTAAAAAAGCAAACTGTGCTCACTTTGGCAGCACATATACTGAAAAAAAAGCAGACAGGTACTTGCTGGCTGTGGAATAATCCCATGCACTGCCGCAGTTTCCCAGGTGCATGGCAACAGCCACCTCCAGCCTGGGCACGAAGGCTGCCGAGGCTTCTCAGAGAATGCTGTGCCCTGTGAACGGTCAGATGGCCGCCGGCTGCGTGGCCAAGTGCCTGGAGCAGCTGTGGGCCCTGGGGCAGAAGAGCAGTGGGAGGTGGGGTTCTCAAGGGGCCGGAAGCGCAGGGACCCCTGGGACAGCAGAGGATGGGAACAGGGACCCGTGCCAGCGGCACTCCCCCCTCCCTGCAGGCGCCGTGTACTCCACTTACAGAGACTACAGCAAGAGGATGGCGCAGGGTGCTGGGGGGACGCAGGGGCTGCAGCCCGGCTACAGGCTCCCGTGGATGCCGAATAAAGCAGTGCCCAAAACCCAGGTGTCGTCTGTGGGCAGAGGGCAGGGAGGGAACACGGCACGCGCGGCTGTGGGACCCTCAGGGAGGGCAGGGCCCCTCCTGCCGGCCGCTCCCTGGGGACCTGGCAGGAAGAGGCCACAGCTGGGAGCGGCAGTGGCAACGTGGGAGACCACATCCACCCAGAACTCACTGTAGACCAGACAGGGAGGGCAGAGGTCGCAATGCTCTTTGCATTTACAAACGGGGCTAGGGTGGGAAGGCTGAGAAATAAGTCAGGGAGTCCCTGGGGAGGAGCCAGTTCGGTCCAAGGAAGGCGGGGCCCAGTGCGCTGCTCGATGCTTGCTGCTCGCTGCTCCCTGGCTCTGAGGCTCACATCGGGTAGTTGAGCACCACGTCCTGCTTGGCCAGCTCCAGCAGCATGGGGTCATCGAAGAACTTGCTGATGCTCACGTCCTCGCTCAGGCCCTGCGGAAAGGGCAGAGCAGGTGCTGCGGCCCTGTGCGGGGAGGAGGCCAGGTCCTCCGGCCGTTCTGGCCACATGAGGAATGTGGACCACACCTCTCCACAGTGCATAAAGTGTGCTCAGTTTGCGGCACAGGAAGAGCCCTGCTCCCCGGAGCTGAGGAGCGGGGGCCCCAGAGAGGGACGAGTACCTTCCTGCGCCGGGTTTTGATCATGAACTCCCGGGCCAGGTGTGGGGCCGGCTGCGGCTCCAAGGGCCTGATGACGATGCTCTTGTCCAGAGGGTCACCAGGTACGATCTGGAAGGCACAGGGCCTCAGCAGGGCGGGTGGACAACCCGGGCCTCGGAGGGACTCTTCCCCAGGACACCCACAGCCGCAGCTCACCTGCCAGTGGTGGAAGACAGACAGGGAGAAGGCCTGGCCCTGCGTGTGAGTGCGGAGGTCAGTCTCAAAGCCGAAGGAGTCGATGGCAGGGATGAAAGCTTTGATTGTGTAGAGAGGTGAGCCCGGAATGGGCGCATCCTGAGTCACGTGCCCCCTGAGACACAAAGAAAAGGGCGGGCCCCAGACTGGGTGTGGTGCTGCACACCTGTGATCCCAGCGCACTGGGAGGCTGAGGCAGGAGGGTCTGGAGTTGGAGCTCAACCTGGGCAATTTAGCAAGATCCTATCTCAAAATAATAAAAAATGGCTGAGGATGTGGCTCTGCCAAGACCCTGGGTTTGGCTCCCAGTTCTGGCCCTACCAAGGGCTGAGCTGCGAGTGTGGACACAGAAAGCCTTGGAGCAGCCTGGGTTCTGCTGTTCCCGAGTACACGGCAGCCCCAGGTACCAGCAAGGGCGGGCAAGGGGAATGCAGAAGGGAGGCGACCAGGCTCGGGCTCCTGGCGTAGTCACAGGCAGCCCCTGGGCAGAGAACGCTGTCCTCAACAGCCCCGCCACCACCGTGCTCAGGCCTGGGGGACCCTCCTCCCCTCCATCCCAGCCCCTCCCACACACCACGCCGCTCACCTGCGCCGGGCCAGGACGGTGTACACTGCGGACACGCAGTCCGCAGGTGCCTGGACCTCCACGAAGTAGTACGGCTCCATCAGCCGAGGCGTGGCCTGCCACAGGGAAAGGGGCTCAGACCTGAGCAGAGGCCCCGCCCCTGCCCCTGCGGGAGCTCCGCCCTCCGGCCGACCCTGCTGCCCTTACCATGAGGAAGGCAGAGTAGACCACCCTCCGGGCTGTGGGGATGATCTGGCCCCCGCCTCGGTGCAGTGGCTCCTGGGCCACCACCGCGTCCAGGATCTTAAACTTGACGTTGCGAATCACTGGGAGGAGAAGACAGGGCCGCTGTCCAGGGCCAGGGCAGCAGGGTGGAGTGTCTCTCGGCCACCAAACTACCCGGCGCCAGGGCCTGCGGCAGAGCCTGCTCCAGGGGCGTGGGGGGCTGCCTGCTCTTTCTGGAGACTGGAAGGCGTTCTGGTCTCAGAACAGGCTTGGAGAATTGCACATTGGGTCCCACAAAGTGCCATCTGGGTCTCTGTATTTGCAGTAGGAGGGGTTGAACCCAGAGCCTTCTCCTTGAGCGACATCCTCGGCCCTTTCTTTACATCTCATTTAGATCTCACACAGCCAGCAAGTTGCCCAGGCTGGGCCTGAGCCTGTGACCCTTTTGCCTCTGCCTCCCCGAGTGCGGAGGTGCCAGTGTGTGCCACCACTCCTGTCCTCATCCTATGGACAGTGCCCCTCACACATACCCAGGACAGACCCTTCTCAGGAACGAGGCCAGGTGCCAGTCCAGAAATGACTGTTTCTAGGATGTACCAAATGGTGGCCCAGGACAGGGAGAGGGAGAGGCTGGCCTGGGACTCGGGTGGCCCTGTGCAACCAGCCAGCCTTTGGGGTGGGGACTTACGCTCATCACAGAGGGGCCCCTCCCTGGTCCCCCACTGGAAGCCCTGCACGATGCTGTCTTTCACGGAGCCTAGGAGGGCCTTGTCCACCTGCAGAGAGACATGGGCAGCTCAGAGGCCCCACGGAGCCCGTGAGCTTGGGGTCGAGTGCAGCACTGGGAGAGAAAGGACACATGTGGCTTCTTCCCCAGAGGCGAGCGTGGGCCACAGCTCCTGCTGGCTCTGTGTACCTCCGAGGGCAGGGTGTCGTCCACCAGGATGTTGGGGCCGGTGGCATCAGGACCAAAGGCCCAGATGGAGCGGGCGGCCAGCAGATCCCAGTCATACTTGGTCTGGAAGAACTCGCCCAGCTTCTTCCTGGGCGGGGAGGAGAAAGCTGGGTCAGGCAGCTCTGCACTGCTGGCTCCTGACAGTCTGCCCAGGGGCAAGTGGCGCCAGAGACCCCAGCTGGGGACAGAGCATGCACACCTGTTCCAGGTGATCTGCACCACCTCGTTCTCGATGTCCTCGGCCAGGCCTTTCTCCAGCGGCTCGGCGATCATGGTGATCTTGTTCCTGGCATAAAGGACATGGGTGTGGGGGTAGCCTCAGAACTGCAGGGCCCTCCTGGGAAGGCAGTGAGGGGGCAGGAGAGGCAGTGCCAGCATGGGGCCAGGCGGGCAGAGCAAGGCCGAATACATCTTCCATTCTAGGCTGCTTTATTTTTTGGTACTGGGGATCAAACTCGGGTCCTTTCACTCGTGAGGCAGGTAGCGGAACCACTGAGCTAAATCCGTGGCCCTAGCCCCCTGCTTTTAAAAGGCAAAGATGGGTGCAGCTCAGCGGCAGACCATGTGCTTAGCACGTGTGAGCTCCACAACACAGATCACTCCACAGTGGAGCTGCTGGATGGTCACGTGACAGAGCCAGCACTGCAAAGCCCTCTGGGAGGCGGAGGCAAAGGCAGAGGGGTGAGCAGAGGGGTGAAAACCCGGTTTTCAGCCCCACCCAGCGGTCTCCACCTCTGCAGTGGGGTGGGCTGGGCTCCCTCCCTCTGGTCTGCATGCTGGAGCCGGGTCCAGGCCTCTGCACCAGGCACATGCCCAGACTTTCTTAATTTTGAGACAGGGTCTCGCGGAGTTGCTAAGCTGCTTAGCCTGGGGTGGAACTGGCGATCCCTGGCCTGCCACACCCACAGGCCCGGCCTCCAGCTTACTTCTTATTGGGTGTTTCCGCAAAGCACTTGAGGGAAGACGTTTCCACCACTGTCTCACAGAATGTGACCACTGGGTCAGCCACCTGGGAGGAGATGAGTCCTGGAGGTAACACCTGATCTGTTGAAGGACAAAGCTCTGGCCCCCGAAAAGACGGGGGCCTGGGCTCTGCCTCCCCAAGAAGCCGGCCTCGGCCAGCATGAGCAACCAGAGCAAGAAAGGAGCTGGGGTCAGGGGAGGGGCCAAGGGTGCGTAGGGCCCCCAGGCTGAGCACCACCCCTCTTGTACAACGATGCTTGGGATACCTGGTCCTCCTCACTGCAGCACCTGGGCAGCACGGCTCAGAGCTGACTGGCCCAGGACACAGGGCCCAGATGTGCGTGATCCGTGGGGCACAGGACCCAGGAGTGCCAGCCCCGCTCCCCCTCAGCCCAGTTCTCTCCCTCACTAGAGACCCACGGCCTCAGGCGTGACACTGAGGCTCATCGCTGGGCTGTGCCCACAGTGGCAGCAGAAAGTGCGCTCAGCCTCGGGGTGCTGGCAGGCGGCTGTGCCAGGTGCCCACCTTGATGTCGATCTCTGAGTACATCTTCCGCAGGTCGTGCATCACGCAGTCCAGGTAGAGCTCACCGGTGCCCAGGATCACGTGCTCTCCCGACTCCTCCACCTACAACAGGCAGCGCGGGCCACAGGACCCCAGTACAGTGTGACCGGGCATGCAGTCACCAGCCTCGTCCCTACCTTAGCATTTTGTTTTGGCTGAACTAGGGATTGAACCCAGGGCCTCCACACTAAGCGACATCTCCAGCCCTTTGTATCCTAAGACAGAGTCTTGCTGAGTGGCAAAGTTGCCCAGACTGGGCTTGAACTTGGGATCCTCCTGCCTCAGCCTCCCAGAGTGCTGGGATGACACGTCCAAGGCATTAGCCATCTAGGGACAACTCCACTGTGTCATAGATACAAGCCAGCCCCGGAGACCTGGAGCTACTCAGAAAGGTGGGCCAGCTGGGCGTGGTGGTGCACGGCTGTCATCCCAACACTCAGGAGGCTGAGGCAGGAGGACTGCTGCAAGGTTGAGGCCAGCCTAGGCTACACAGTGAGTTCAGGGCCAGCCTAAATCACAAAGGGAGACCCTGCCTCAAAAACCCAAAACCAAAACCAGGTGGGCTGGCAGGCTTAGGAGTACTTCCCAAGATACCAAGTGGGCTCCCAGAGGAATGTGAGGACGGG